TGCTGACTCATCTGTATTAAATTCCTCATACAATACGTACAATATCCACTCTTATCATGATTTTTTTTTTTTTTTTTTTTTTTTTTTAAATTTTATTTTGAAAATGAATATACTATGAGTACGGACAAATACCAATGTTCTACGTATAAATAATATTTTCACTATTTATTTGCAATTAGAGCCTCGTAGGAGCAAATTGAAAAATGCTTAAATATAAGGATTTTAAATCATTTACTATTGACATATGACCTTGCCAAGATCGTGAATCAATCCCGTGAGATGAAACCAATCCTCGTTTGGATGATCAATTCTTATTTTCTCTGCAGTTTGGAATGCATGAACAATGTTTGGTAAACTTGAATCAGGATCGCTCTCATCCACTAATTCATTTAACTTTATAAGAGCTTCCTTAATATTCATTTTACATTTATTGAATTGAAGCCAGGATTTCATCTTAGCTAAAAGCAATTTAACGAATGATAATTAAAAAAATCGACAATATGGAAATTAAAATTAATAAATTTTTTTTTTTTTTAATACGGTTGAATATTAACTTAGCGGATATTTAAAACTGTTGGATTGGCTAGTGCATCGAGACGTACAAATACCAATTTCATTATATCTATTCGTTAAAATTTATCACATTTTTCTTAAATATTTATATAAGCTTTAATATTCTAAGCCTACCAATTAATTACCTATTATTATATTACTATTATTACAAATGTCCATTCATGCAAAATATTTTATATCGAATCATAATTACAAAAAAATTAATATAACATATTTAGCTATAGATAAATCTCAATTATATACTTGAATCACTCGTATTTGATAAATAGAAGAAAATTACCTTGTCTCAGCATGTCGAGCAATAAGTCCTGATTTTCAAGATTTTCAAGCTCGCCCTAACAGTTATGCACAATTTCAAGGTTTTAATATACCTTAATGTACGTACTTACATCGAACGAAGTCAACTGTCTGATTGGTATGCATATTTAAATATGTCAATCGAATACGTTCCTTAATAGGATCATTGGAATCCTTTGAATAATCTCTAAATTCACTTTTTAATTTATCACTGTAAATAGGTTCCGGGCGAAATTTTTCAGACGGATCGAAACTCGATATAGTTTCCACAGATGACTGAATAAATAATCAATTAACATTAACTATCATAAATTATTCCTTATTTCAAAGATTTTTGTCGATATTTTAAGACATCGAGAACATTAATTAATGAGTGTAGAAATAATAATATTATGTCTCACTCAGTTTGTTATATTTGAGAATAAATTTATTAATAACGATAGTTTCTTAAAAACACTTTCATCATAAATTAAACATTTTAATCGATTGTTCACTGATATTTAGCATATAATATCCACAAATATGATTTTACAATTTTTAATAAATGAAATGAATTTGGAAAAGCCTTTTGAGAATATATTTATGAATGTCTTTTAAATTTTTTTCAAAACTATTAATTACCGATATTCTGAATTCCCATTAAGGTCGTGTTATTTTTATATTATCTATATTTTAAACAAATGATTACTTTATTTTTCGTATTTCGTAATTTTTTTATTTCTTTTCTTTTTTTTTTTTTTTTTTTAAGTTTATTTTAAGCTTTTGTCGAATCATATGCTTTAATAAATTTTAGTGATTTTTGAAATATCGTTCTTTAATCTTTAATTCTACTATATCAATAACTTGGAAGTGTGTGACTTTTTTTTCTTCCATGGTTTTTTTTTTTTTTTTTTTTTTTTTTTTTTTTTTTTAATAGAAACTTTTACGAAATTCTTAGAAGATGTTTAGGTATTGAAAAAAATATTCAGATTTACAATAAAATGTACTATTATTGAATGCACAACTTATTTGCAATAGGCACGACAATACTGTTATATAATGACTAACTCAAAGTGTTAATTTTTATTAATTAATGAATTTTAATAATTAAAGAATATTTTTAATAAAACATACAAATGACAAGTTATCTCAACTTACTCTAAATTTAGCAATCATATTAAATGTTTGAACTAATAAGTGTCACTAATTCGCTATACATTGACTAACTGAGTCCTAATCTTGTTTTAAGTTTATAAACTGTTTCGCTTCACCCTTGACCCTCGTAAATGATTTTATCGTTTTATCCCACATCTCCCACTACTTAATGCTGTGCCGAAAAAAGTCTTGCCTGTTGAGTAAATTTATACTATGTCATGCAATGATAAAAGAGTTTCGTATACGATTAATAAATATTAATCAAACATAATAGCCCACGAAAGTTCTGTGTAATGAAATTAAAAATAATTTGTTTCTATTTATTACCACACAATGAACAAATATTATATGGCTTACAATTTGAATTTAAAAATTGAAAAATTGTTACAAGTTTTTTTTTTTTTTTTTTTTTTTTTAAATATAATAAAAAAAAAAAAAAAAAAAATTTTCAATAGTGAAAAGTAACATGTAAATGAAAATAAATTTTTATTCTTTAGATTTATTTACTTTCATTTAAATGCAAATTGTCTATTCGACTTGGAAAAATTTGGCACTGACCAACATTAATTCGTAGTTAGTATTACGCGAGACCGATAGACCTCAATAGCAAATTCATATTCGATAATCTTCAATTCAACCAAATCATCCGCTTACATTCGCTTTCACTCCAGTATCACGATTAAGCATATAATACTCAAAAATGTTATAATAAATCTGGACGACTTTGGATTTAACTATACTCGATCCTGTTATCTATAGAAACGCGTATCCATGTACATATGTTTATATATAAAAATTAAATACCGAGAAAATATGTTTGAATGAGTCAATTTGAGAATTGAACATATGTTATTGAGAAAGTTCCGACTAGATTAGATAGTTAAATTTTGAAACCATGTTACATTTATTTATTATTGCATTGGGTATTTTGTCCCTTTGCATCGCGTACTGTTTGAAAAATCATTACAAAACTTTTTTTTCACATTGCGCCTGCTGCTGCTGCTGCTGCTGCTGCTGCTGCTGCTGCTGCTGCTGCTGCTGCTGCTGCTGCTGCTGCTGCTGCTGCTGCTGCTGCTGCTGCTGCTGCTGCTGCTGCTGCTGCTGCTGCTGCTGCTGCTGCTGCTGCTGCTGCTGCTGCTGCTGCTGCTGCTGCTGCTGCTGCTGCTGCTGCTGCTGCTGCTGCTGCTGCTGCTGCTGCTGCTGCTGCTGCTGCTGCTGCTGCTGCTGCTGCTGCTGCTGCTGCTGCTGCTGCTGCTGCTGCTGCTGCTGCTGCTGCTGCTGCTGCTGCTGCTGCTGCTGCTGCTGCTGCTACTGCTTCATAAATATAGAATTATTTTCAATTTCAGCGTTAACGTAGATCATTTCCATGTTGGATGGTATCAAAGTGCTGACGTTGGTAATTTTTTAAGTCTGCCATTGTTGGAATCTCAATATCATTATCAAACATCTATAGAAGAGTCGGTCGTTATTATTTATGATACAGCAAAATCAGCCAGAGGTTTCTTAACTCTTAAAGCTTATCGTTTGACTCCGCAAGCTATACAGATACATAAATAGGATAAATTTATATTCGAGATACTTGAAATTTTTACGATTCAACATTTGCATGGACGCGTGATGATTCGAGATACTTATATACGTCTCACTCACGCCTGCATCATAGCACTTTGAAAAAAATATTTCCCTTCATATTACAGTTTATACATTCATATGAATTATAAATAATATAGCGAGTAAATATAAATAAAAGCAATATGCATTTAGAAATGATGTGAGAAGATCACCGTAAATTAAGTGAAATAACTTATTTTGAAAGAATATCTTAGATTTTCTTTGAGCCGCGATCACGCAAGCGCACATATTGATGTTTTATAATTATCTTACTTCAAGAATATATGTTAAAAACTTTTGTGGTAAGTATTACTCTATGTAATGAAGCATTTTTTATCATCTGACAAAGCAGATAAAATCCTGAGCATTTACAACTCGATATAATCGTCATTAGGGAAATACATGTTCTTATTATTGTTGCTATGAGCCCTTCAAAATTTGATTTTGTTCGTATAAGTTAACGCGTTATATATTAAAAGAATGGAGTCGACATAACTACGTTACTCGATGACCTTGAGGCACCATTATCGAACGTTTCTGTTGTGAAAATCATGTTCTGATAATAATTTATCGAGGGTGTGATTACATCTTACCTCTCTTTTCTAGGATTCTTGCTCTAATTTAAGACTATTATGCTTTTAACGCGTTTATCTCGCATTCATCGCCATAATGTCAATGTAAAACGACTCTATACTTGCAATTGTTATTAATTTTTTTTAATAACAACGATGGATAACTTAATAAGACATCGTGAAATTATGCGAAGAGAGAAATTTGGTTGATAAATTTCAGAGACAAAAATGCAATCGTCGTCGTGAACAGGTTAATTTATTGATAATCGTCGATAATGAACAAGCGCTTATTAACACTTTGACGTTTTAACAATTTGTAAAATTGTTCTGATATGTATTAGAGTATAAATTGTTAAATCCATTGCGATTCTCGTAGCATTACCAAATAAATAATGGAAAACACGAGATTCGTTATAGTCGAGTGAACATTGTCGTAATTTATGAGAATATAGTAATTTAAAAAATTAAATATATATGTGTGTGGGTGTGGGTGTGCGTATACTTTATAATGTGTCTGTCAGAATGAATTATTATTTATATAGATGTAAGGTAATACAGTGCGATAATGAATAAAAGTATTTTGTAAGGAAATGGCTCAGGCTTCAAAATAAAATCCTACTTCCAGAGTTAGAAAGTTGTTAATTTTAATAAATCATACTTTACGTATCAGATTATAAATGCATAAAAGATAAAATGTTAAGAAAACCGTAGTATAGGTGTTTGAACAAGTTTTGAAATTAAATTTATAATCTGCATTTTCATTTAGATTTCGAGATTTTTCGAATGTCGGAGATTCTCCTCTGCGCTGGGTATTAAATTGTCAGAAACAACAAAATATAAAATGATATTGTTGTGAAAAGAAAAATAACGGACGGTTGTGTAAATGTCGTTTGTTCAACTTGGAAATTCTCGGAAAGGGACGCGACGATGGACAGGTGATTGAGGGCCGTCGAAAGCCAATAAAAAATCACTTGACAAGCGAATGGCGAAATATTGGCACTAAGTATCCTCGAGGGAAGATCAAACTGTCGTTGTTAAAATAATCGATGAGAGGCCTAGAATGGAATAGTCCTAGTTTAAAAACATAATCCCTGGAAGGGGATGTAATTATTGCCCGGAAGTAGGAGGCTTAAAGAATTTGCCTTTGATAATAGGTGAGTGAAATTGTAATTATCGTCTTAAGCGTTATTAATACGTGTCTTACGTATAACCTATTAAAGGCAAATAATTTATTCTTCATAATATTTGTATTATTTAATCAGAAGTTATAATCTGTCGTTGTTGTTTTTTTTTTTTTTTTTTTTTTTTTTTTTTTTTTTTTTTTTTTTTTTTTTTTTTTAATACTTTCCTGGAAATTGTGCGTCTCCGTCTGTTTTCCACATCGACATGAGATACACGACCGAATATTTTTATACATTTAGTCTTATAAATTATGCAATGCGCAAGGAAAATCGGCTATTAATTCGGATTATTTTAAAGACTATTTTAGACTAAGCTTGATATTGAATTTTAATTTAATTTTTCTCCTTTCGCTGATAACTCCTATTCGCAAAATAAGGACACTTAATAGTTTACGAAAGTCGATTGTGCTATTTTAGATTCATATAAAAATTAAAAAAAGTGGCATAAAAATGACGAAGTTTAACGAAATGCTAACTCGTTATTACTTATTTAATTGGGAATTTGAATGGACGATGATGCAGTTACAATTTTAAAGTTTTTTCTTATGGAAGAAATTCTTGTATTTTAAATGGTTAATTGATTAAAAAAAAAAAAAAAAAAAAAAAAAAAAAAAAAAAAAAAAAAAAAAAAAAAATGTGCTCGTTGAAATTACCGAAAAATATAATAAATTAGAAATGTAAGCTTATGTAGGCTTAACACTTAGTCTGATCAATTTCAAAGAATTTGTTTAACTTTTTAAAAAATATATATATACATTATATAATAATAACAAGATATTTAATACATTTTTCTCTAAATTAATAATAATATTGTATTAAAATCAATTTCAAAGTATATAATGGGAAATCTCTGAAGTTTTGAGCGAGTAATGTATTAAAGAAGATAGTCGCTTAAAATCAATTTCAAAGTATATAATGGGAAATCTCTGAAGTTTGTTTATCAAATGTTTATCAAATCCACCTGAGATAATTAGACGGAATATTTTTTTAAAATCCTAGTCATAGTGCTTACAACTTGCGATAACGAGAGAAAGAGAGAAAGAGAGAAAGAGAGAGAGAGAGAGAGAGAGAGAGAGGAAACGGGAAAGTAGTCTATATAAATTTAAAGTTTTTCCGTTTTATACTATCCCGGTGTGAGGGCAATAGTGAAAACTATCTGTCAAATTGTATTACACTAATTACGTCATATTAACCAATATTACGCTTTTGGCTGAACGTGAAATAACATTTATTTCATAAGCATATCTCATAAAGCTGAATCAATTGATATACAACGATAGATAGATATTTGTAAGATAAAAAAAATTAAATATCACATAATGTGCTATGATATGCATAGATCGTGATTAGCATAATGCACGATTTTATAAATACAATAGGCACTCTAAAATGAAAATTTGTCAATAGAAATAATAATAATATACTTTAACCGTTAAATTGGCAATTTTCAATTATTCTTATTAAAATTGAGAACTTTGTATTTAAACCTTGCTTATAATAATAAAAAATATTATTAATTATAATGCTGATGCGTGTTTGACATAAGCATATCGCTATCCCATATAACAATGATTGATTAAAAAACATAACAACTGTCCTTTTAAACGGATTTAAAGCATAGTTTATCGATTATTAATCGATTTAAATGATGAACTGCCACGTAATGAGCACACATCATTCCACAAGTAGTGATAGTATTTTGTAATGATTTTAAAAAATTCATATCATCGATTGTTTTTATGAAGGAATTTGCAAAATATTGTCTAAGTGATATGTTTACGTACTATCGCCATCATAACATATTTAACGGATTATTTTTCTAGATTTATTGTGCATGAAAAATAATAGTGGCTAAAAGAGGAAATGAAGGAGAAGCGTCGGCGATAGAGAATAATTAATCGAATAAATCGTTTCTCCTTATAATCTCCTGATACGAAGTCTAGAGTGTAAATATTAAATCTCTTGCTTTGTCGTTGCCTCATTCATTCATCATTTACGTGTAGTGTTTTTTCTTTTTTTTTTTATTATTTTTTTTTTTATTTTTTTTTTTTTATTTTTTTTTTTATAATTCGTCGATTTACTTAATCAATAATGGAGAATAAAGAAAAAAAAAAATTATTTCTCAGTTATAATTAATAAAAATATCGAGTTATTCAATTTTCATTTTTTTTTTTTTTTTTAGCAATTAAGGCAAATTTTGGAGGACTATAAAGTTTAGTTTTATTATCACAACAGCTGATTCGATGAATAAGTTGCCTGAGTAATTGAGACACGAGACACTCAAGGAATATTGAATATTTTGTAATAATGACGAAGCATTTCAATGAGTATGATATGACGATGGTAAAGTATTGAAAATTTAATTTAACTGCACTTCAATTGTAATCCTCATAGAGGAAATTTCTATTGCTTTAATGAAACGAGATACGTCAAGATTCTCTACATTCGATATTCCGAGTTGAATTTTGTTTATCTGTTTTTTTTTTTTGAGCAGAAATTCACGCGGTTGCGCGTATCAGCATAGGCAGTGTATCGGTACACGAATAAAATTTCATTGCAACCAATTTATGGTGAGCGTCGTTATCGGACATTTTTGTTGTTACCCGCATCTTTTATTAACTTCCGACGGCACACGGTAACACTTCTTCAAGTCCCGCCTTCTTCGAATAAACGAACTCTTCCATTATTATTATTATTATTATTATTATTATTATTATTATTATTTGACTGCTGCTTTATAGATTGAAAACGTCGTTTCCTAATTTGTGAAAAAGCTAGGAAATACAATGTACGATACGAGATTGAGTGTTTCGGCTAATCTTACAGATAATGAATGATTGGAGGCTTAGCTTTCGAGCTATTGATTATTTAAAAATAATTAAGAATTACATGAAATGGAATAAGCAATTATTTTTTGCTTACCGATTGCGAATGCTTTTCGTTTTCATGCGCGATTGACTTCGAGTGTTTGACTGTTTCGAGAAATTTTACGCGAGAAAACCTTGAGCAATTTTATTTCACATATATCGAGCTTCACAGCATTTCCAACAATTTTTAGCGCTAAATTAGAATTATACAGTGATTGGGTGTTTTTACGCGATCTCGCGATATTGGAAATAAATACAATTTATATAGCCAATTTTATTATAAAAAAAAAAACTTTTACATATTATCATTACTTACATTATGTATTTCGATTCCCATTGATCTTATTATTTTATGTTGAATTTTTATTGCAGGTATTAGTCCGCTGATTTATAATCGATATTATTGATTTGGAGACAAAATCCATCATTTGAAATAAATCTTTCTTACTTTCAAAGCTATGATCGACGTAATTCAATATGCAAACAGTTAAAAGAATCGCAATCACGGATACAACGCATAACTGTCGCTATTCGGAATAATTTTATTAACTACAATTAAATATTGAAATACGAATTAAATATTTGTTATAAAAATATGTTGCAAATGTAATTGTAGTTTTGCCAAATGATGAAATGATCATGGGTTTATATTAAAAAAAATTCTTGATACGTATAATGATTACATTATAATTTTACATGTAATATCGCTTTTCTTTTTTAATATATTTTGTATATATTTTGTATATATCAAAATTCAAAAAAAAAAAAAGAGCTTTCTTTTAATAATGTGTAATATGATTGGGTACGGGAATAATTGAAAAAGTATTATCGCTATTCGCTATTTAACTTGTATATTCTAGTCATCTCACACGAACGAGCATAATGCAATTAATAATCAAGTTTGACCCCTTAAATATATGCAAAATATAGTATTATAGCTAAGAAAATATATAAAATATAATTCAAACTTTAGTAGTCAAGCTCTCACAAAATTCTTGCTCAACTGCAATTGCATATGCTGACAAGTACATTGGCAAGACTTGTTATTTACCAACAAATTAATAATTTAGATTATTAATTGTTGTATTGATATTATTCAAGTAAATACTAGTATTTACTTTAAACAAAATTATTATCTACGTTTATATATGTATATATAAAATTTATTTATATATAAAAGAAAATAGCAATTCATTGATCATTAATTTTCATGGATATTTTTCATGTTTTCTATTCTTTAATTCTTCATATTTACAAATAAGTGCCTATTATTTAAATGATTTCATTTTGAAAATTCTATGCTTTTTGTTAAACATTATGACCTTGATGTAATAAAATGATTATATATTTTATTCAATTAGTGTGTGTACAATCGTTTATTCGTTAGTACGAACAGTAAGTAAATTTAATTTAAACTAGGTCTTATTTTATAAAAATTTGAGTATAAAAAGCTTTTTGATCGCTTTTCCAATCGACAATATTTTGAAAAATATCTTCTATATATTGTGTTGTTATTACTCTTTCATACATTATGTTTAAAAATGTTTTTTGAAAAGATTCATTAAAACGCACTAAAAAATTGTTTCCAAAAATATTTCCAATTAAGAAATTCTATATGTTCGTGCATGTCTCTCTCTCTCTCTCTCTCTCTCTCTCTCTCTCTGTGTGTCGCGTCAATGCGTGTTTGTGTGTGAAAAAGTCTTCAGTTCTTCGCACCTTATATATCAATGTATCATAAATATAAAATTTAAAAAAATTTTTCTACTTTTATAATAAAATTTTTATAAAATAATCCTATTCGCAATATTCGTATAAACAAACAGATGACTATAAATCAACATAAAATAAATAAACAATATTATCCAATGTGATAACTCTTTTGATTTCTTGAAACGTAATATTAAAGTATCAATAAATTATATCCATCAACTTTATCCATTACAATTTTCATAGAAATACGACAATTGTGTTGTATTTAAGATAGGCACGACTTGAATAAAAATACATAAATCAATGGTTTTCAAACAATTGTATTTATCATATGCGTACTATTATTCTCATTTTAGAATAATTTCTGAATAATATTTTATTTTTGAGATTCCCTGTAAATATTACGTAAATAATAAGACAAAAATTTAATATACATTAATGCATTCACAATTGTAACTCCTAAACATCCCATCATCCAGAATATTTTTGATTGCCTTTAAAGATATAATTAGTACATTTTATTACTATTGTAATGAATATTGCTTAATGACTAATTTTTTATTAAAACATATTTCAATTGTATTGAGTTTTAATTAAACACTTTAAACTCTGGATATAATCTGAGCGATTCTATTAAAAATTACTCTGCCTCGTAAGATATTATATTAAATAAAACTATTTTATTATTTCCAGAGCTATAATTTACGCACATTGTTTGAAAATTTTTATCTTAATAGGTGCTCGTATTTTTTTTTAGCAATGTGAAGTAAATTTTGTTATCTAATAATTTTCGACTTCATTAGCTTGTTATAGGAATGCAGAAAATAATATTGACGCTCGTCTCCATTTCTATTAATTTCTACATATGAATTTGCTTTTCATCGACAACAGTTTCAACTTTTTAAAAAAAAAAACATTATATTAAATAATTACAAAAAAAAAAAAAAAAAAAAAAAAAAATTATTTAATTATTTCCTAACGATTATCCATAGACATGAATATAATTAGTCTAGAGGAGTCTATTAAAATACGAAAGAAATAAAAAAATTCCATTTTTTTTTGTTTTTTTTTTTGTTTTTTTGTTTTTACAAAAAATGGTTGTATTTATTAAATTACTTTGTTTACATAAGTTTGATAAAAAAATATTGTAATACTATTTTTTTTTATTATAAAATGAAAGTGTATAAATTAAGAAAGTATATGTATAAAATTTAAATAACATTAAATGAAGGAAATGAAATATTTTAATTTTCTTTATTTGAAATGGCCGACGGATTAAACAATCCGTGAATAATGTACATTATGTTTATTTATATACAAATTCACAAGATTTAGCAAAGGATTGTAAAAATAGTCTTTTTCAAGCTGTGCTTGAATCAGAATCACTAGAGCTGCTTTCTCGTCGATGACGAGACGATGATGTCTGATGTTTATGATGAGGACTTCGCGAGCGAGATGAATGTTTGGATGAAGATTTCTTACTTTTTTTCGTTTTGTGAAATCTAGAGTTTCCAAGACTATCACGATAACTGCAAATAGAATATATTTTGTGCAAAAGAAATATTTATTTTATTTTTCATTTGCTTTATATTTTGTCTATTGTGAAGCTAGTGATGGAATGAATATGTTTTTACATAAAAGATTTTCCCATTAACAGATGACGATGAATTATAAACATTGTTTGTAATTAAATTGATTTTTCATTGATGTTTATATATATATATATATATATATATATATATATATACATAGTTCTATTATTTTGTACAAATGTGCAAAAGCAGTGACATTACAACGATGGATCAAAGCACGAATTAAACTATAAATATATTGTATTATACAAATTAAAGGAAGAATAATTTTATGAATTTTATATCTACTTATAAAATGATAACATTTCTATCGATCTAAATATTACAATAAAAATAAATATATTTTATTTAACCGAAAAGATAGCATTTGTTTCAAGATAACTATCCTATGTACAAATACTATTTTATATTATTAATCGATTCTTGTTAAAATTCTTTATATATAATATATATATATACGACACTTTCATCCAATAATATATATATATATATATATATATATAGTAAAAATATAATTTTAAATGGATACCTTTTGTGAGTACTTTTCTTTTTTTTATGTTTCTTATGACTTCTGTGTTTGTCTGAAAGACTGGTGCTGCCACTTCGACTTCTAGATCGCTTATTTAGCTTCTTAGTAAGATCTGCTCCTTTTAATCTGTTCATCAATGAATTTGTATTGATTTTTAATTCTTCGATTTCCAGATCTCGCGTGGGCGAGGGGAACGAGGACGTTAATTCTTCCTTTAGCGTTGTGGACGTTTCATGCTTGACCACGGGAGCCTGAATCTGACTCAAAAACATAGCCGCTTTTTTACGTCTTTCCATCTGCAATTGCTTTTCTTTCGAAGCAGCTAATTTTTCTCGAGCTATTAGAACCATTTTATCTCTTATTCTATCTTCGGCTTGCTTGTCGCAGATTTCCTTTTGGCAATCCTCAAAAATATCATCCGTCAGATCGACAAAAGTGCTTTCCTGGTCCTGCGCGTGCGACTGCTTCGAAATCCTTCTATCAGTTAGGCTTTTGTCTTGATTGATCGGTTCCTTATCAGCCTTTACTGCACAAATGTCTTCTCCCGTGGATACTGGCGAATTTGGCTTAGAAGTCGCTTCCTTCTTATCCTCGTCGCCCTCATCATCGCTCTCTTCTAACGGCAGTGCATTTCGTTTTTCTATCACACTGCTTTCACCCTCCTTGGGCTTTTTAATAGAAAACGACACCGTCGTAATTTGCTTACTCATATTTTGCTTTGCACTGATCTCGCATTTCTTCTTCGCCTGTATCATTTTTACCCTTTTCTGTACCTCTTCCATTCGCTGCTGCTTTTTCTGTAATTCTTCCAATTTCTTCTGTTTCTCTTGCTGTAGCTCCTGCTTCTGCAGAAGTTCCTCTTCGGTGAGCACTCGAGGATTAACCGCCCCTTCGTATATCGTCAACTTATGAGCGTAATAACCGTGATACTGGTGAGACAGTTCGAGAAAGCTAAACCTTGGATCACCCTTATTTTTCACGATCGTCTCAAAGTCCCGGCCATTTTTGGCCACGTAGCTTGCCATCTTGTCAATTATGATTTGCACGTCAGCCGGTGGGACAATGAAAGACGGCCTGCTCAGAGGCTTGGGTGGCGTTGGCCCATAAGGGACGAGGGGAGCAAGTTCTTTTTTAGCTGTCGGAACAATGCCGCTTGTTCCAATGTGCATTGCCGATCCGACTTGGGATATAGGATTCGGTACTGCATTGCCATTTGCACTATAAAGGACTGGGCCATGAGCATACTGTTGCGGAGGAGCAGAAAAGCCTGGAAAACCCTGTGGAAATATTAAAATGCTAAATTGTACTGTGACTCGTACTCGAGATAATAATATAATATTTATAATCGAATCGAGATTTTTAAAGGTACGGTATTGAATAAAAAAATAAATAAAAAAATTAATAAATAAACAAATAAACAAACAAAACAAAACAAAAATCAAAGATTAAGATTTTGACAATTACAATTCAACACTGATAATGAGATAATCTCCATTGTATTGGCAATAAATTACAATCAATATAAGTTTATTATTATTCTAAAACATTATGACAGATTTTATAATTAATAGCAGTCATTAGCAGCATTACCGTATAAATATGACAATCGACGAATAAAGCATTTGTAAAGAATTACAAATAATTCCAACGTTGATTATAATATACTTTGAACTTACCTGTTGCATCGGATGATAATAGTTAATTGGAGGGATCGGCGGTGGTGGTATCACTTCTGGTTGTTGAATTTTTGACGGTGGTTTCCCAGTAATTTTATTTACTAACATGGAATAAGCACAGTCCGCCGATGGCTTATAGTTTATACTTGGAATACTAGGTGCCTATACAAATTACATTATTACAATCTAATTTTCTAATTCAATCCAATTTATCAAGCATAATGTAAAAATATATTGTAATAGACGGATACGCACTGCTTCAACTTTGAGAGATGATGCGAGACTTGGATGGAGATAGGGTTCGTTATCCTCCTCCGATTGTTCGCTAGTCTCTGTCAATTAAAATCATTGAGATTAGATACATTGCTTAAGACCAGCAATACTTACACCTGACTGCATCGAAGTTGGATCTTTAAAAATTTAATATAATGTTGGTACTTACGGTAATTACAAAATAAGCAGATTCAAAGGAGATGTTGATAATGAATTCCGGCTTATAATTGAGTTACTTCTTTCAATGAAGACAACATCAATCATGTTACAACAATTCTCTCAAATTTGGTCTTCCACTCGATTAAATAAATGAAGAGAAAGATATAATTTACTTTTATACAATAAAATTGAATGCATACCAAATTCTTCCTTTTCAGGTTGCTTTTCTGGATTATATTTCCCAGATTTTATAGCTTCAAGGACGTGTTTATAATAGGGATGTAGTTCTCCATCGATTGACAAAAATGAAAATTGCTGATTATTTCCCTGTTTTGCTTTTATCAGTACTTCCATCTGGCCACCTTGTCGGCTTATAAATAGGGCTGTTTTCGTTATGATTGCATGGAGCTTTTGCGTTTCAGGCTGTAAGAAGAGTTAATCGTTAAGAAATTATTGTTTAAAAATTGAAAATGCAAATTCATTGCCGATCAACTTACTACAACCATGTCTTCTGGAATTTCTAATTCTGGCTCCGCAATAAATGCTTCATCTTCTTCGTGCGATCCGTCCGATTGCTTTGGACTTTGTGAATCGTCGAGAGATTTCTTTTCGTCGTCGTAATTGAATCCAACTTGACTGTACGAACTTTCTAAATCAAGCGCTTGATGAAGCCTCTTAATTTCTTCCTCTAATAATAATAATAATAATAATAATAATAATAATAATAATAATAATAATAATAATAATAATAAGAAGAAGAAGAAGAAGAAGAAGAAGAAGAAGAAGAAAAATCATGATATTCAAAATTGTATGTAAGAGAGTATGTACAGAAATATTTAAAGATAGCGTAATGAAAATCTAAAAATTTTAAATGTTTATGATCTTAACAATTGTCATGGAATAAATTATCGAAAGTAAAATTACTTTACGTACATAGAGATTTGTAAAATAATTACCATGGTTCGTGGACTCATCGGCATTACTGTTATAGAGAAACCGGTATCGTTCCTCATCACAGGCTTGTTCAATTTTGTACTCATCTTCGGTAAGGATGGTGCGCTGATCAAAACCACCGGACGGTGGTTCATATATCCTTAGATCTCCCAAAGCTCCTCGACCATCATATCTATAGACATAAATCAGATAAATTAGAATAACAAGAAGAAAACAAGATTTTATAATCACAGCTTTCACCCTGCATCTGAAAATATAAAAAACTTTAACAATAAATGTTGCCAAGAAGAGCTCAAAAAATGGTTGTTAAAATATATTTTAAGTTTAAGAAACAGAGCAGTTAAACCTTAAAACATTTTTCAAATATTAGTTTTTATATTTAATGAAAATTAAAGTCTTTCATAAGTAATAAAGCATTTATTAACTTCACTGATTTGAGGAAGGAGCTATATTCACTATTTTAATCTTTAAAACCATGAGATAATTAAAACTCATGAATAAATATGTTGTTTGAAAGTTAATATATATATATATATATATATATATATATATATATATATGTGCGTGTGCGTCTGTATATATAATAAATTGGTAGTGCACACAGAAACACATCATAAATTACTAAAATTTCTCTTAATTCTAGGGGCCATAGTTTAAGAAGATTAAACTAATGGAGATAGCATTGAATACAATTTTTAGCATCATATATCCTTTGGCAATTGATACTAAAGCTCTAATACATACCAGCCAGATCGGTCATGATACTTAATGACCATCGGCCTTTCGTTTGTATCTCTACGCTGTGTCTCACCTTGCTGCTGACTTTTGACGCTCTCAGCTACTAATCCACCACAAACGGTCAAACAGGCATCTCAGTCTGTATGGTGTGAAGCATATTTAAAACACACTGCCACACTTGGTTGGCCAAGGCACACCTGCGGAAACCCTTAAACAGTCTCCAGATTGTTTATCCTTGGATCAAGCATAAGAAAGAATGGAGAGGGGCAGAGACATTGCTCTATCGCTGGCTGGTTCAAACAAGTCAATAAAAAATCGAATTCTTTCTATAGAATTAGGCCCTTGTAGATTGAGATCTACGTTTATATTAATGAAATACTAGATAATTGTTTTTTTTTTTTGTGTTTTCTTAGGTTAGAGAAACGGACCTGTCTATCTTCAGTGTGCTATCGCCCATCCACGGTATCAAATGTTTGCCCTGATCAATCAATTTCGCCTTTTCGTCATCTCGAAACAACTTGCAGCCGTAACCGAAGACCAGAAGCTCCTGTGGTTCCTCTTCGCCGCTTTTTTTCCTCAGAATCCCGGAGTCGACCACCCAGCGTTGACTCTTCGATGCCATTTTTAGTTTGGAATTTTTTATTTCAACTTTATTTATAAGAAATTTTATAAGCAACTTATTACTGATTGCTGAAGCAACCAGCAACAGAGTCAAACTAGTGACTTACACCAGAACGAGCCGTTTATCTAGATTCTTAACTTACTAGGCTGGCAATCTGACTGGGACTATTTAACTTTTATACCCAGAATTTCAAATACACCGGAGACTGCCGAAGTCCATGTGCTTTGGGTTTCTTTATCGAAGACAGGCCAATTGGAAGTGCAATATCGATGCAATAATTCACGAAAATAATAAAAAGCTCTCAAAAAGCTGAGTGAACTATATTATTTTTTCTTGATTTTAGATTCGTATTTAACATTATTCGATTAAGTACAAAAAGTGCTAAAGAGTACCGGATCTCTCAATTGACTAATGTTGCCATTTGAAATTTCATCCCGTCATAAAGCATCCATTTTAATGTATTATTAGTATAGAATAATGGAATGTTTTTTTTTTTTTTTTTTTTTTTTTTTTTTTTTTTTTGCTCTAAACTACATACGCACAGGCTATGGATTATATTGTGAAATATGACGAATAGTGTGTTCGTAATTGTAAATGATGTTTAACGAGTAAAGGATATTAGTATGAGAAAATGGCGATATTATTGCAATATAATACCTCCCAACATTCCTATCCACTTCTTCATGAAATATCATTACAAAGCTAATGATTGGTTTAAAGGAATTTTTTATGAATCGAACAATTATATTTGCTCGTAGTTATCTAATAAATTAATTGATTATACTTGAGTGCACACACGCGCGTACGCGTTAAAATAAATGAAATAATATTCAGAAAATTACATATAATTAATTAATGTGTATCCGATGTGCAAAGAAGTGTGAATTGAAAATGAAAATTTCGATTATTCTATGTCAATAATTGAAAGGGATAGAATTAATATTGAAATTTAAGTGAAATCATATAAAAGTCAAATGTAAAATTCGACATTGGAAATCAATAACTTAAGCGCCTAATGATTATTCGATAATTCATATTCATAATAATTATAGCGCAATAAATATAATCTGTAAGTCATTTGATAAATAAATTAAACGTTAATTTGAAATAATCAACGGATTAAATGATTATTATTTGCAGTTTTGGTTATTGAAAAATATGAAGATTAGCATTTGTATTAGCATTTTTTTAAATTGAAATATCGACAATGAAAATAATCTTTTTTTAATTTTTGGGCAATTTTCATTATATCTTAAGTAACGAATGCTCGTCTATTGTATAAAGTCAAAAACTATACATAATACTTGGAATTTTCAACAAATCCGTTATTATTACCTTTATTAAATAGATTTTCCAGATTTACTTACACCAATTCTATACATTTTAATTATATGAAAATATTTTTACTGAAATTAATGCGAAAATTCATTAACATTTCGTTAACATTTTATCACAGAAAAGTTATTCAATAATAAATACGTTCACTCGTTTCAATTAACTTTTTAATAATAAATATATGTAATCTTCGACTCTGATTAATTTTATTTATTTATTTTTCTTTTAACCTCTGTCATGAAAGTTTTAATTATTAATGCCTTTAAAATATGCTGACGTACTATTGACTTAAGTAAATAATTTATTGCAATCAATGCAATAATAATATACACATCCATATAAAAAACATAAATTTATATTTTTAAACACAATTGAATATACTTCAAACTGTTACTTTAGAAATCAATTGGGTAATTTATTCAATAATCAGTTTTTTCTGTTTATATTTATTTACGATTATACTGTACTTATAATAATATTATAAGATCAATAATAAAATACAATTTCATAAACGTTTGCTTTTAATATTTTAGTATTATAAAATGCGAATGATGCAATTGTAGCTATTAAATTATAATAAATATAATAATATCCATTTGTATATACAAACTTTGATAGCCAAAGTTATAAATAAATGTATATTCAGATGCGATTAACTGCAAAATTTACATTATATATATATATATATATATATATATATATATATACATATATAAATATATATATTGATCGAAAATTTAATGCAGATATCCTAACTATATCGTTCGTTAGGCTATAAAAATTATTCCAAACCACAAATCATTAATTTGTATCGACCATATTGTCGGTTAAATTGACCCATAAACTTATTAAAACAAAAAAAAAAAAAAAAAAAATCGTTAATTTGGAATTTGTTCCCCCAAGGGGGGAAGGGCTTACATTACTTTCGTGACTTTTATCATTATTTGTCTTCTTTTATATAAGTTGAATAATTGTTAACTAACATTGTGAACGTAATGTTGAATGAAATGCAATTTTTAATTGCTATTCAAACATTTTCTTTTATTTAATCGATACAGTTTGTTAATTATCTTTTGTGGCCACTATTCATTGGTCTTCGTTTAGTTCTAATATTAAATTTAATATATTCTGTCTAAACATAATTAAAAAAACAAACAAACAAACAAACAAACAGCCAAACAAAAAAAAACAACGATTATGTAAATATTGTATATAAATATAATGTAAAAATTATAAATAATTACATACAGACATTAGAAATAATATTATAATAAAAATAAGTTTCCAATTGTAATGCAATTTAAAGAATTGGGTATTTTTGCCATTGTTCCAAGGCATAACAAAATGGCATTTATTCAAGACTCAGCCGATAAATAATTCAAAATTTATTCTATTGCAAATTATGTTAAAACACCACTTCTATCACTATAAACATAAACTCAATGTTGTTAAATATAAATTGTAGAAAATTACGATAAAGTTAATTCGTTAAATTCTGGTAAACTTTTAGTTGTTCATAAAGTGCTAAAGTCCATCGAGCCTGATTTATAGATTAGCGGAGCAGCTTTATGAAAAAATTGATTAGAAATCTAAAGAAATACGCTGTAAAAATCAACAGCAATTTTATCAATATTTGTTTTATCTGTAAAAAAAGAAAGAAAAAAAAATAAAATAAAATAAAATTGAATTTAATGTATTTTAATCACTACTTTTTTTTTTTTTTTTTTTTTCTTTTTATTGTCTTTCCTCTTTCCTTCTTTCTTATTTATCTCGATTTATTAATCGAAAATTTTCATTGACATACATTATTTATAATAATGATGCATTGTAAACTATTTCAACAATATTTGTAGGCAAATTATGAAACATATTTTTTAATTATGTAAAAGTCTGCGCTCAATAAATAAATATGTATATGTTATTGAAAAAATATTTATTGTTAAAAAATAATGAAACATCGTAAATATGCTTAATGATTGTTCATTAATCTTAAATTATGTTTTCCTCATGAGTTATGATGAAGCATTATCATTTCCCCTTTTTTCAATCAACATAGTATAAAAAATAAAATACTCTGTTTTATGAAACCCCGTATCTTATTGTTTGCCATTAATTGCTCTCAGATTAATATTAGATTAATTTTAATGAATCAATATACTCTTTACATCATACATAATTATGTTATTCATAATTTCATAATTTATTCCTGTAATTTGTTTAAATTTTATTAACATTTTCACTTTTTATCTACGGTAAACTTTTCATTATTCATAATTGCATTTAATATTTATGTTTAATAATTTTATATGTATTAGTGACTTTTTAGCTTTCGAATAATTCACTTCTAATTTCTCACATAATTGCCTCTCAATGATTAATTCTTAATTTATTCTTAATATTTAGGAGAGAATTGCTTCAAATAATTCATCATCAAAGTACTTTTTTATCAATCAATTTTTTGCCCAATTAAATTATTAATTAATATAGTTGCTTTATCCATCCAACTAGCCCCAACTGAATTATTCATTTCCAAGTCGTGTTACGTATAAAAAAAAAAAAAAAAAAAAAAAAAAAAAATATATATATATATATAATATTAATATATAATTATTGCGTAATTACATTTCTAGATTAGATAAATTTCTAGATCTATCATCTGATCTCTAATGTCGAGCGATCAGAAATTATTTACAACCTTGTATTTAAGTAAATTTATTTAGCATTAATTTGCCTTAGGATAATTGTATTAAAATTTTAATAAAAATTGCCAATTTGCAAAGAATCGGTCGTTCAAACGTGAAAAGGAGAAGAAACTTTTGTTTACATAAAATTTCATGCTATTTAATAAGAATTACTTTTTCTCAAATTTGCTTTTTGCAATTGAAATAATATTTTATGGTAATAGGGACGTTTGAAGAAAAGAAAAATGAAAGAAAAACCATATAAAACGAATGAAACGTTTGTTTAAGAATATAAATTTTATTACGAAGATGTCGATATCGAGTATAAACGATATTGAGGAGTCGAAATCTCGTATTTATTTGCCGTGTGATCGATAGAAGTTTGGTGCTTATTAAGAAATAGACACGTGCGCGACGCTCGGCAATTAAATTGTGCCGTGACATTATCAATTATATCTGTCTTCTCACTCCCCACTCGTCTTTCTCGGCGAATCTTTTACTATTCAGAACGAGAACTTTGAATGAGCAATGGAGGAAACAGGCCGAGCTCGCGCACGTTAACAACGCTCTTTTAATACACATTATACCCGTAACACCCATACCAAACTCGTACATGTCGCCTGATGTAACAGCGAGGCAAATCAATATAATTTGTAACATGCTCGAGCTAAATCTTGACATGGCGTTGCAACAACTGTAAAAACGAGTCGTCGATTACGATGTTTGGCCGTAATAAATCTATCCGCCACACTTATTATTAATTTGTCCAGTTTGCTATCAGTCGTTCGTTATAATACGTCGGTAATTACGTTATGTTGCTTTTATTTATATAAAATGCTTACCGCTTGAAATTATAGGAGCGTATAGTACGAGCAATTTCCATGGGCAGGCGATTAATAGTCGGATAGTAATGATTGATTATCAAATGTTTCGGTTTATTTCGTCCTTTAGTCCTTTAATGCTTATTGCTAAAATATTAATTTTTCATTTTGCACAACGGTGCAATTGGCGAATAAGTACTTTTCTCACTCGTCGTCATTTTCCGTTAACCTCGTGTCGCGAGTAAGTTAAGTAAGTAAATGCAGGGGGGAAGCGCAATTGGACGAGAAATAGATTTCTGCCTTACCGTCGTCTCGCGCACTCTCATAGTACGTACTCATATGGCATTACAAAGTGCACGACACGGCCGCAGCGATAGCACGCAATGCAATCGATAAATGCGCTCGCGTATTCGCGCGTCTATAATAAAAATAAAATAACAATAATGAAGATAATGAGAGAAAGAGAAAATAAAAAGGAAATGGCTTTGGAGTAGGCCCGAGGGAGTAAGTCGTTTAGGTTGGAAGCGACGATCTTATCTCGATGGTCGCGTGATGAACGTTTAACGAAGAGCCGGTGAAGATAGCGTAACCGAACAGTCGAAAGTCAATAAGCCGGACGCGAGTACTTTCAACCTGGTAATGCTCGGTACAGAGCGAATCTCCGACGACAAGGGGGGTAAGAGCGACGCGCTGCTCGCTGATGTGATAAGGCAGTGGTTCGAAAAGAGAATGGGAGAAGTCGTCGATGGCGAATGCACTGATGGAATTATAATGTCCCAAATGGTCGAAGGGAATGTAAATAATTGACGGGCGTGCGAGAGAGATGGAGAGATTGAGAATTGATGTTGAATTTGTAGATTTTGCATACATATTTCAGGTTGTATTGGCTGAAAGTATTGTTCGGAATGAAGAACTGGTTGCATAACTGTGGAATTTTGAAGTGGCTCGTGACCTTGAGCCATGGAATGGGCAGATTTTGATTTAGGATTTGATAAAATATTTGCTAAGTTTTGAGCAAGATCTGGCAGTGTCGATGACACTTCTTTCACTTTGGTTTTTGGTGCAGTTTCAGTCACTGTAGTTGTTTGAGATGGAATTTGAGTACTAGCAGAAGGCAAAATTCCTGTTAGTGTTGTATGCAAAGCATTATGATGAGCAACTTGTTGCGTTTGTTGAGCAGTTTCTACAGTACCATTTGCTATCTGAATACCATTAGAAATGCCATCTTGTGACTGCTGACTCAAATATGCCTGTTGCTGAATATGTTGATTTGATATACCAGATACTTTTCTTTCTTCCATATTTACATTATTTGTTTCTGATTGCTGTGAATCAGTAGAAATATTTGAGTTATTTGATATATTTGAAATTCGACGATTTCGTTCATCTGTATTTGGCTGCTGAAGAATTTGAGCTGAATTTTGAATATTAACGTGTTGTGGTTGTCGCAACTAAAAATAATAAATTATCTTTACAATTAAAAAATTAAATTTATAAATATAATTACAAAATATAAATTAAGAGATTACTCAGTTTATACACATCAAATTTAAATACATCTAATTTAATTTTTATTCTGTAACAGATGAAGTTATTATATCTTCCAATTAAATATATTCGTTTATTATATAATTATATAATACCTATTAAAAGTATGTATAAATACTTTAGGTCAGTGACAACCAAATTTAAAATAAATGCTTCAAGGAAATGTGAGAGAGATCTCTCTCTCTTTCATGTGAGAGAGACAAATCAGAGAGAGAGAGAGAGAGAGAGAGAGAGAGAGAGAGATAGTGTGCGTGGATCAGGGCTACTAAAGTTCATTTGGTGCGCGACTTGGTACGTTGGGTCGTTGGGTCGTTGGATCGTTGCGTTGAGTTGAGTTGCCGTTGCGTTGCGTTGCGTTGCGTTGCGTTGCGTTGCGTTGCGTTACGTTGCGTTGCGTTGCGTTGCGTCGGGTTGCGTCGATGAGTCGCGTTGGGTCGTCGTTGCGCGATAGACTTGCCTATGAGGAACTTTGCCGGGTTTCCCGACCAATCCACGTCACGGCCTTCTCCCGAGGACTCGCGGCGATTGGCTCGCCAAGGAGAAAACGAATCCCTCGCAACAACACGTCGTCGTCTGTGTCGGGGCGGGCTAGCGAGCGAGCGAGACCGAAGGAAAGAACGGCCGAAGTAGAAAGACGGGGAAGGAGAAAAAGTGAGATAGACTCAGGCAGGAGAACGAACGAACGTACAGCCGACGGCGCCCAAAAAACGCGAACATCTTCTCTCAGCGCCTTCTTGTAGTCGGCTCTTCGCCTCGAGATTTAATTCGCATCTGGGAGTTAAAAGTACGGCCGTAGTTCCTTTGTCGCTGCGCAATTATAGCCAAGAACTCTCGCAACGAGGTAAGTCGTTATTTGAAAATGTATGGACTGGATTAAGGACTCGTTTTTTTTTCTTCTTTTTTTTTTTTTTTTACCCTTCTTTCGTTCGTTCGTTCGTTCGTTCGTTCGTTCGTTCGTTCGTTCGTTCGTTCGTTCGTTCGTTCGTCCGTTCGTCCGTTCGTCCGTTCGTCCGTTCGTTCGTTCGTTCGTTCTTTCTTTCTTTTTATTTTTCCCGTCGCCGAGGGGAAAAACGAGGAGAGAACGAGTGTAGCCGCCACGCCGGACCGACCGGCATATTAAACGCTCTATAGCTAACAGCTCGCGAAACCATTTGTTTTTTCCTCTCGATGTGTAAGAGTCGCGAGAGGCATTGCTCTGGAGATACAAAGCCGGTTAATTGCAGGGTCGAAGCGAAGGACTTGCGCCGACGACTTTTAAGGTTTAGCCTTCAAAGTCGCCAGTCGAACATCTCTGTTTCTCATCGGCGAGACTCGGGTGGAAAGACAGGGACAAGGAAAGAGGCGACGTGCGCGTATAGAAAAGGCGGGAGTAGCTCATAGAGCGAGGTGAGGAGATTTTCATTTTATTCGTTCATTGCGATTATCAATTTTTTCTTCTCCTTCTCCTCCTCCTTTGCCACCTCCTTCGTCTCCTCCTCCTCCTCCCGCTCCCGCCAGCGTCGCCCGGAGGGGGGGGCCCGCCGTTGCCTCCTCCTCCGCCATCTCTTCCTCCTCCTCCTCCTCCTCCTCACTCCTCACTCCTCCTCGCTCCTCCTCGCTCCTCCTCGCTCCTCCTCGCTCCTCCTCGCTCCTCCTCACTCCTCACTCCTCACTCCTCACTCCTTCGTCTCGTTCTGCTTCATTTCGTTCCCTTCTTCCCTTCGCCGACGAGCTGCGCGTTATTCAAGGCGTTCGAGAAGAGACGGTTGCGATTCGTATTTTCGTCTCTCGCAACAAACATTGTACCTGTCTGCAGGGATTTCAATGAAAAGTCTATTGGGCGCGCGAATAATGTACGATTTTCGAAGATGTCCGATGCTGTGCATATCGTGCCTTTACGCCGAGGCGACATTGGTTGAGCGCGCGCGTGCTTTAACGCGTTTGTCCAGCGGCTTTTCATGCCCTTGGACATTGGCTTGGCACGAGTGTTTTCTCGGGTAAGGTAGGCCAATGCGTTTATCAGGCTCCTTCAAATACCCTTTCCTCCTCCTCTCCACATACCCTCGCCTAATCCAATACTCCGCGATATCACTCTCTCTCTCTCTCTCTCACACACACACACACACACTCTCTCTCTCTCACTCGCTCGCTCGCTCGCTCGCTCGCTCTTCCTCCTATAAATCTCTCCCTTGCCCCTTCGATCGCTCACTTACACACGCACGCAAACAATCCACACACCACCCAACTCTCCCCCGATCATTCAAAATACAGGTAAAAGAATCTCGTTGGCGATGATTCGATTCTGATCCATTGTTTGATTGACGACGAACGGTGTGCGCGTGTAAGGCCGAAATTATGTTTACTTTTATTAATGCCCAAAACATTGTCCCGCTAATACGGGCAATGTTTTTGGCTATGTTTGTTTTTATTCAAATGCCATGACTCGCTCGCTGGTTTGGCAGATCCCCGAATTATTGCGCCGATTGATAAAATCTGCTTTCTCCGTGGCCTCTTCATGCAGCGATTTCCTACGTTTCTCCCATTTGTTATTGTATTGTTTAATGTACGCGGGTCGGCGTGGAAGAGATTTTTTTAATGTATTTAGTCGAGCGAGGTGGAATTGAGCTTCCGCACGATTACCAAGTTTCGAACGATTGCCATTATTCGAATGCCCGGGACGTCGCGTAATTAATGTGGTGGTGGTACGCTCGATTAGCGTCTTTATTTGCTTGATATTACATTACCTTCTCGGTTTATGATTAATGAAAATGTCAGGCGCACGTCTTAAGGATTGAAGACTTAGTTAAATAAAAGCAGTCGAGGATAAAGATATTGGAAAATTGTCGTCGGTATTGCAGGCTTGCAAATACTAGAAAATTAAAGTAATTATTTTAAGCGATGAAATTTGCATTCAAAAGCTTTTAAATTTTCTTAAAAGTATTGTCCCACGATGATTGATACCCAAGGTCAATGTGTTTTGGCCATAGATATTGCTTATCCGCTGTAATTATGAAATTCATTAATTACTTCACTGGAATGATTATTTTAGGGATCCTATAAGTATAATGTATGATGAATCATACATACATAAGAAGGATCTATTAGCCTCTAAATTGAAATTACTCTATGCTTATCATTAAACTGTGATGGCCATTCTATCTTTATTCTTGGCGTGGAGCATTTATAATTTGCCATTTATAATTGCTCGATTAATCATTCAAGAGCGTATTATCATTACTATTTGCCCATTGCTCTTCCAGCGCATTAATTCCTCGCTAATCCAATAAAAGTTTCTTCAACTTATCTGCACTATTTGGATATTAATACTGCACTTTTGTTATAATATATATATATATATATATATATATATATATATATATATGTATGTGTGTGTGCGTGTGTTTGTTTGTGTGCGTGTATGTATATATACATATTTATATATGTATATATACCTACCTACACGCACACACACACACACACACATATATATATATATATATATATAGATTTATAGTAATTAGACTTTGGAATATTATTTTGGTTTATTTTTTTTTTATTTTTATTTTATTTTTTTTTATTTTTTTTTGTTTTTTGTTTTTCTGTTTGTTTTTTTTTTTTTTTTTTTTTTTTTTTTTTTTTTTAAAGCAATGGCACCACGCAAAATGGGTAAACGAGTGGAAAATGAAGTTCTTGATACACCCGCAGTGGCAGAAAATAATGATGTTTCTGCAGCAAAAAAGAAAAAGACTCAAATTGAAGAGCAAGTGACAAAGGAAGTTAGGTTACCAAGGGCAGCCAAAAATAAGAAGATTGAAGTCGAACCAGTAATGGCAAAAGCAGCACCGAGGCAAAAATCTGCGCCAAAAAAGGCAGACTCGTTTGAGAAAAAGTCTTCAGGAAAGAACAGTAATAAAAAAACTGAAGCTCAAGTTGACGATACTGAAAAAGTTGAAGAGAACGATGATATTGTTGAGAAGCCGGTAAAAAAAGGCAGAGGCAAAGTCGATAAGAAGGTGGATGTTCCTATAGAGAAAAATTACGAAAGTTAGTTGTACATAGTAATATGCTTCTTACATTTTTATTAATGACGATGTCAGCAAATCGATAGATACAAATTTTTTCTTATTAATTAAACTTTAATTTTCAAGCTGATGTTAAAAACAAAGTTGTTGAAGAAAAGACATCACTGGCCACTAAAAAGGGCAAAGGCCGAGGCAATAAGGCAGAAGGTAAGCTTAAACATGATCTAATCCCTGGATTGAATTGCGATTATTTAGTTAACCGTATTTTCTAGATATTTAATACCGTATTCGAAGTATGATGTTTAATTACTTGAAAGTACTATAATCATGAAAAGCTTTCAATAATTTATTGTACAAAAATTAAATAAATAGGTAAAAAGAAAAACCACAGCTAGTATCGGAATTAAAAAAAAAAAAAAAAAAATAACAATCGAATGTAAATCGGGCGCTTGATTTATTAATAATTGTATTAAATATGAATTCCACCTCGTTAACGGGATAAAAAAAAATTTCTGTTTCAGTTGTTTCTAAAAAAGCCAGGGCTAAGAAAGACGTTGAGAATGAGAATGGTACATTTAATTCAGATGTTAAAGATGAAGATAACGATAAAGAAAGTGATGGCACCCTAGAGACTAAAGAGAACGGAGTTGAATCAGAAGTGATGGAAAATGGTAAAGAGGAGGTGTTAGAAGAAAAAATAGAAACTAAGCTCGTGAAGAAGGGGAAAGGTAAGGCACCACCTAAGAAGGGAAAAACAGTATCAAAATCCAAAGTCACCGCAGAGACGAATGGCGATAATGAAGAAGACACAGTGAATGAGCCTGAGACCGGCGTTGCTAACAGTGTTTAGGATAAACAATTTTAATTACCTTTATTTTGAAAATAAAGAAAGAAACTTGTATTATTTTACCTTATTTAAACTGTTATGAGAAAGAAGTCGAGTTCATAAATGTCCTTTAATGATAATTAGTAAAGAATTTCTTTAATTATTACCGTTTTCAATCGATTGCAAATACAGATCTGTACTACTGTAAAAAAACTTAAAAAAGAAAAAAAAATAAGACAAAAAAAAAGGAAGAAAAGGGATAGTTAAGAACATATTTTTGAAATGTTGTACATGCGTATAAAAGTTGTCTCCGATAAGTGTATTTACTATTAGCTTTTAAAATAACCGATGTTTTGTACTTCTAAAATACGGAATCGAACTGTTTATTAAAATAAAAGAATTTATTTGAATCCACTTGTAGAATTATATCTATGCACCTTCATAAAAATTTGAGTCAATGTTGTGCCTTCACGAGTAAAATTACTTCTGACAAGTGTGTAACGCAGTGCATGGAGGATAAATCAAAGTATTCACGCAAATAAAAATCGGGACTCGAAATTACATACAGATTATTAAATTCGAACCTAATTTAAACTAATTTATAGTAGGACGTGTGCCTGTGCGCGCGTTAGCGTGTGTGTGTGTATGTGTGGACTGTGTGGACTGTGTAGTTTAATAATGAGCGAATAATTTAAATATTTTCATTTACAGGTGCTCTTAGCAAAGACCGGTGATGATAATTAGTGATTATTCCAAGTAATGGTTATCTTGTATAATGTTCTATCAACGTTAAATATTTCTCTTAAATGTAATAACTCTAGATTCGTACTGTACAAATTAATATTTTATGTAAATCAGTTACTTCGAAGGATTAGCTTGTAATAATTTAGATGCACAAAAATTTCATTATCTTCTCGTGGAAATAATTTTCTTTAATTTCTTATAAAATAAATGGATGAATTTACGATTTTAATTATTATTTGTTAAATGAGCGAATCGTATGGACACACTGATGTATAAATACCATAATGAAAGTAAGGTATATTAATGGTAAAAAATATCACCAGTTCAATTTCGGTTTGGATTAGAAAGTTAATGACAAGTTGAATTAATTTTCATTTTAATTAATTAAATACACTGGGGTTATTAAACAATGAAAAATTGTATACTTTCAATATTGCGCCGTACATTGGGAATAGTATAATTATTTATTTATTTATTTATTTATTTTTTATTTTAAACTTCTTTTCTATTTATCTTAATACGTTCAAATTAATTCGCGAATGGAAGATTCGATAATGCCATCGTTATACGGCTAAGATATTATCAGTAAAATTAAGCTTATTAAACTTATTATTCATTGGATAAATTTTATAATCTATGATGTAGTAAAGAAAATTTAATATCCCGATCGCTTTATTCAGGCCGTGTTCTACGAATTTGTGATTTGTAACCTCTCATTGCAATAATAATAATTTCGCTTTTAGTTAATATAAAATATGCAAATTTTTTCCCAATCAATTTTTTTGATGATTGTTATTTATCCGTTTAAAAGTAACTGGGAAAATTAATTATAGCATTGACGGTTCATCCGTTCAATATTGTTCCTATAATAATGTGATTGTTTATTTGTTTGTGCCTCTGTGTGTGTGTGTGTGTGTGTGTGTGTGTGTGTGCGTGTTGCGGAAATGGCTGCATAATGTTTGTTTACTTTTGAACAATGATGAGGGTAATAAATGCAACAAGCTTATTTAATATTGTTGAGAAGAACAAATGATGTAAAGTATATATAGATGTGTGCGCGCTTGTGTTTGTAATTGAATTTTTTCAAACATAAAAAAACAATAAAACCCTGTTTCTAGATCAAAGTTTTATATCCGATTGTCATGACGATCTTCAAGGTTCTTATATTCAAGTCGATATATCTCGAATATCTCGAATAAACAACAATTTTGTCCATTTAGCTCCATACCAATAATCCAACGAGCATACGTATATTTTGTTTTATAATATGATCATTATAAACGGACAATTAAGTGTCTCGTTAATTTATAGTGATTTATATGCGCAGATAAGGCTTTTCGGGTAGAAAAAAAAAAAAAAAAAAAAAAAAAAAAAAAAAAAAAACGTCAGGAAAAATATATTAGCAGACATTTAATTGTTAATTTCGGGGTAAGTGGTGGTAAGTGCGCTATTGAATTTGCGATTGTCATACTCCATTGCGAGAATAGTGACGAATTTTATTTTTATCGGCCGGTTAATAAAATGCTCAACTACGATATTTATTATCGTATGACAAGATGTTATCTTATCATCGAAAATGACATTTGGCAAATCATTGGCGAGACGACGATGTTAATTGTCAAAAGCAGAGGCATCTTGGGATACGTAGATATTAAGATGGTAAATTTAGAACAATTGTCATTGGAATAAAGCTGGGCGTGCAATTCCAACTTGTTCGTACCTTCTCTTCGATTAAATTTATCAGAATTCATAATGAAACCGTTGGACATTGGCTCATCGTTCGTTGACCTTCAACACAAATGTTTATCAACTTATATATTTATTTGTCCGATTATAGGTTAGAGAGGCTTGGCTATTCGCAGAAAAAATTAAACAAACATTTATCAATTACAATTTTTCCGATAATTATAAATACTGGCTATCGACATACTATATTATGGCACATTGATGGACATATAAAATGTGGCCGACGATTAGACTTATGATTTTCATTCGATTAGCTGGAAATGCGAGGCGCTGCTTAACTGACTCGAATGCTCATTTCGCAATAGCGTTCGAAGCGTCTAAAACATTCATAATAATAAGTCTTACCTATAAGGGAAATGCTACTCATTGCCATAGATCTGTTACGACTTTTATAACTCGACCGAGACGTTCTTACTTATGCTGTTATCGCGAATTGAAAGTGTGAGCTCGTGACATGGCCGCGCGTAAAATTTTCTCCTTTTTATTCTAATGCAATACAACGCGGCATGGATCGATTAGTTTTATCTATAGAGCCGAACGAACGTGCGCCTCGTTCGTCGCTCAGATAGTCGCTTTTGAAGAAAATCCTTTGCCACTTCTCCATCGCTTAAGCAGCCCAATTGAATGGCAGGTCGATGGCGTTTGAGAGCGTGAGAGCGGGAGCCGCGGGATTACGTAAGGTAAAATTGGATCGCTATCGAAAATGAAATGGGAGAGAAAAGAAGGCGAACGTGCGATAATCGTTGGAGGGATAATAATATCGAGATGTTGGAGAAGAGGAGAGAGACGAGAGAGAGAGACGAGAGAGAGAGACGAGAGAGAGAGACGAGAGAGAGAGACGAGAGAGAGAGACGAGAGAGAGAGACGAGAGAGAGAGACGAGAGAGAGAGACGAGAGAGAGAGACGAGAGAGAGAGACGAGAGAGAGAGACGAGAGAGAGAGACGAGAGAGAGAGACGAGAGAGAGAGACGAGAGAGAGAGACGAGAGAGAGAGACGAGAGAGAGAGACGAGAGAGAGAGACGAGAGAGAGAGACGAGAGAGAGAGACGAGAGAGAGAGACGAGAGAGAGAGACGAGAGAGAGAGACGAGAGAGAGAGACGAGAGAGAGAGACGAGAGAGAGAGACGAGAGAGAGAGACGAGAGAGAGAGACGAGAGAGAGAGACGAGAGAGAGAGACGAGAGAGAGAGACGAGAGAGAGAGACGAGAGAGAGAGACGAGAGAGAGAGACGAGAGAGAGAGACGAGAGAGAGAGACGAGAGAGAGAGACGAGAGAGAGAGACGAGAGAGAGAGACGAGAGAGAGAGACGAGAGAGAGAGACGAGAGAGAGAGACGAGAGAGAGAGACGAGAGAGAGAGACGAGAGAGAGAGACGAGAGAGAGAGACGAGAGAGAGAGACGAGAGAGAGAGACGAGAGAGAGAGACGAGAGAGAGAGACGAGAGAGAGAGACGAGAGAGAGAGACGAGAGAGAGAGACGAGAGAGAGACGAGAGAAAGAGTTAGTATACAACGTTTCAGTTAGTGGCACCGTAATTATTACACAGGGAATACAGTTTGACCTGCATTTGAATTGTCCGTGGCGCATGATGCGTGCAATCTCCAACAGTTGAAAAGATGCTAATGATATGTCCATGTGCCAGCATCGCCGTGTAAATTCAAAGAGTAAATGGATAACGTATCACTATTGACTTATTTCCAATGGGGGAGGTTGTAAAACTTGACGTTGCTGAATTTCCCGATTCGCCCGTATATGTCCGTTAGGGTCCAAAGGGTCGGCATTTTCCGCACGTACTTGCGTTACCTATGAAATACATTGAGCTTGGACAAAGTGCTGGGGTTGTCGTCCATTACCCTCCACGCACACTCTGACATCCACTCCGGCGAATATAAATTTCGGGCTTATATCCCAAAGGAAGGAAGAGTCTGGCCGAAGGATCATACGAAAGAAGTGAATCGCGATCGTTTGAGAAAATTTGAAAATTATTTAGACTTCACTTTGAATTTGATTAAATAATGAAAATTTTGTTAAACTATTTGAAGCAAAATTTTGATGATTCATTCGTATGGTTTTGTGTTTGTTTTTGTTTGTTTTTAAGGCGAAGCCTTTGTTGTATATTCGTTCGGGTACGTTGCTTTCTTTAGTATTAAATTCTTAAGTGTTTAATTTCTATTGTACAATGTATCGATAGTTATTTCCTAGTCTATTTTTCAGATACGAAATGAATATATATATATATATATATATTAAAAATTATTTAAAAAAAAAAAAAAAAAAAAAAAAAAAAAAAAAAAAAAAAAAAAAAAAAAAACCTATTCAAATAGTATGTTAATGATTAAATGTCCGAGATATTAATGATTCGGATTTTATCGAATCGTCAGTCGTACGTACGCGTCAAGCAGTAGTATTGTATATTTTTATCCATTATCTTATCATGATAAATAAAGCTTAGTGCGCTATTTGTCAGCAGGGCTTCTTAATGTGTCTTTGTGAAAATCCATCGTACATCGACGAAATAGTCGACATTTTAAAACGAAAGTCAAAGAAGTCGCAGTGGCATATATGGAGGAGGAGTCGTGTAATAATTAATAGAAGAGAAGTACATTTTCAGAAATATCTGCGATCTATATCAAAGCATTATTTTCAATTGGAAAGAACCGAGGGTTGAAATATATTTGCCAATAGAAGAAAAAATTACAGGTGAATATTAAGAAAGTGACGCATTATAATGTCCAACAGCAAATACATTTGCGCCGTGTATTTTATTGTGATATTAACAGCCGTTTTTATCGACGTTTCGTCGAATTACGTACAAAATTATGCCTACTATAAAGCAAATAACAAATCGCACAACCTAATAATAGGTAATAGGCAGTTGTACGATTGTTTGGTGCATCAAGAGAATGTCATTAAGTCGTCCAAGTGGCTGCAGGTGATCGAAGTGTATAAAACCTTTAACATCAGTCGTCACAGCAGAATCACACAGATACGTGCTTTAGACAAAAAGACCAATGGAAATGGAGCGATGGTTAGTAATGTTACGTATGGGGTGGGATACAGCAATTTAACCTTGAAATTTAAAAGCCAGAGGAGTCACGGCATTAATTTTGTTGTCGAGTTGTACGCAAAGCCATGCTACTAAAGCTGTATCGATAAAATTATTTGTCAATGTCTTGTTAAAAACATCGTCTTATATATATATATATATATATATATATATATATATACTCTTTAATAACTTGAGTATTGTGAGTTGTATGCAGAATGTACCTAGCGCTCCGTAAATTTCTAATTTAAACAAACTTTTATTATATTACACTAGCTTATTCATTCTTATTTCGCACAATATCATCACGTGTTATTAAATTATTCTACTTATTTTATTTATAAATGTAGAATATACAATGGGATAGTGCACCTATATGCATGTGTAAATGTCCAGTTACTATCCGATACTTTGTTACATCTTGTTTTATGTGAAATAAAAGAACATTCCGATGCTTTGTGTATTCTCAATTCTCATGTAAAGTGCTCCTTATACTTATTAAAGAAAACTGTACTTATCTTGATCAAAATAAAAAAATTTAAAAGAAAAAGAAAAAATAAAAAATAATAAATTAAAATAATAATGTTGTTAAGTATAAATGATGTATATTGATTAAGAGTTAAAATTGGTGTGAATTAGCTCATTGTGATTTTTCATTCGTTTATGCCCCGTAATATAATTCGAAAAATATAGTTGGAAGAACGAGGTTTTCCATTATACATTCAAACCTTTCTATAGCTCATTATTCTTGCTGTCCATTAGCATTTTAGCAACAATTAGTGTCCATATATGAGAATAGCGGCACATTAATGAATCGTACGTGGAAATTTTCGAATCGATGTAATTAATAATATTATAGATAATCATAGCTTTTTGTCATGCACACTTTTTCACCATAACCACGCGTATATTAATATATATATATATATATTAATATACAATGAGTGCCATCGCTCGTCGCTGCCTTATCTAACCTTTGACAATAATATCGTAGAAATTATATATTTATTATCTAGTGCCTCGTAGAGCTTCATTCGGCGTTTCGCACTTTGAATCCAGACAATTCTTTTGATATCTTTATAAGTAATATAAGCATATAGAAAAACTTAAAAAATAAACGATAATAATAATACTCACCAATCATGAATCGTATAGATTATATAAATATACGAGTATTTTTAGTGCTTGGCTCTGTTGTTTTTTCAAATTAAAATTTGAATGATCCAGGATGAGAGAACAATATTGGAATTACAATGAAAGAATAATAAATAAAATTGGTAAAATATTACATAAAAAAAAAAAACATTACAATGCCAACGGTATATTGAATTGATATGCAATCGTATATTATTACAAATATTTTCCTGCAAAATATTGAATCCTACATTACTCTAAGCGAAGGAAATATTTGTAATAATACACATCGATTTTTATATTATACCATTTGATAGATAATGTGAAACCGTATAAACAAATACGAGGTTTATTCTGAGTAAATTAATCGATGAATTTTAAGTTTTCAACTACATGAAATAAATACAATGAATATCGAAGGAAAAATGGAAGGTGAAAATATTGTAATTTAAACTTGTTCTTACACGTAGACGTTATTTATACATTAAAAAATCCAAACGTTAGATTTAAATTCCAACGTTTATAGATGTAGATTCTCATAATGATAAAAGTGAACTATTTATCACAGTTCCTAATCATGGCTCTTAATATTTATTATAATTCATAGCTTGGATATCAGACTTTACTTAATAAATGTTTTGTCGATATTTCTCGAACATTAAATTAAAAAAAAAAAAAAAAACAATACAAATATCGTACATTTATTAAAGATAAGAATTTCAAATACATATATATATATATATATATATATATATATATATATATATATATATATGTGTGTGTATGTATATGTATGTATGTGTATGTATATGTATGTATGTATATGTATATGTATATTATATAAAATGAAATAATATAGTGTAGGGTAGTAATGACATAAAAAGAAACTTTATTTTATTTTGTTTCAAATGGTCTTCAATTCAATTAAATTTCATGAAAAATACTTTTTTAGCGCGATATACTCGATCCTTTATAATTTTTAACTTTTGCAGAAAGATCGTTGGAGTAATATTAGAAAGTAATGAAAAAAAGAAATAATAATAATAATAATAAATATGAAAATTTGTTTACTATCCATATGACGTAGGTGGAACGTGTCTTTATTCCGTATGAAAGTTGACTTTGCGGTGATTTAAAAACAAAAAACAAAAAACACATATATCAATTACATTTTTCACGAAGCACATTTATTTGTTTGAATCAATTATTAAATAAGCGACAAATATGGATTAGGAAAGTATTACGGAAAGGCTGACCTATTCCTATATAAACTTATTCATACCAGCAATCTACTCGATTACCTTCTGGTCGTATTAGCATAAATCTCGCCGTGTATCTTTAGCGTCCAATGAAGATCGCGTCTTATGAAATAGTCCATAAGATCCATAATGCTGTGCTGAAAGATTGCCGATTGAAAATACGCGATGAATTAATGAATTAATGAATTACCAACGTGACTCAAACGCGTAAGTTGAGCCGAGATTCCAAAATAACTTTTCTCTCGCGTTACCGTGTACTAATCGAATAATAATGGTATGAGGAAATGCAGGGATGTAAGGTGACGGGATGGTCGACCGGAAAAAGTATGGTAGTTTGATGCTGTGGAGACCGAAGATTGGGAGTCATCGCTGAAAGCTCAGCGTTCATTGGCCTACAAATCGACTTTGACTGGATGTTCATTGTAATTATTGTAAGCCATTGTAATAATATTACGATTGATTTTATTACAATTCTTTGGTACCCCTAGCCTATTCAAAGTGTCTCTCGGTGGTTTTATGCAATTCTTCTTTCATACTTAAATAGCTTTCAGTATTTCTCGTGGATGAAATCAATTCGGTTGCTGAACTATGAAAAACGGGTAAAGTATCTCTTGACAATTGTTGGCGAAGAAAAAAATAAAAATATATAGTTGTATCCCGTGACATAAGAATTTGATACATTTCTTTTGTTCTTTTATTAGTTTAATGTGAAGGAGAGGAGGAGAGAACGATATAGGAACGAATAGGTTGTCGGTTATCAGCGTGTTGTCGTGCTCAAGATGCCCGAGAAGAGACGCGTAGAAGGCTTTGTATGCTTGTTAAAATGCACGTTATAAGAGAAAAAGAAAAAAGAAAGGAAAAAAAAAGAAAAAAAAAGGAAAAAGAAAGAAAAAAAAAGAGAAAAAAGAGAAAAAAGAAAGAAAAAAAAGAAAAAAAAGAAGAAAAAAAAACGATATCCAGCAGCGTAATAACATTCTGAAATAATTCAACATTATTTTCTGTTCGTTATCTTTGATATCATTAATATAGATCAAAGTTTTATAAAATAATCTCTTTTGCATATGATAAATCAATCCAAGTCTAACGAGTTTAGACATATTTGTAGCGCAAGGATTATGTGGTTTATTATTAAAAAAAATATATTATTTATAATTGCGTTATTTACAAGTATTTTATATATAAATGTTTGTTTTTTTGTTTTTGTTTGTTTTTTATACACATATATATATATTTTTCATTATCCAATGAATGTATTTTCCGTTATTTTTCTTCAGAACGACCATCAAAATATCCAAATTTTATCACAGAAATAACTTAGTGTATTTTTTTTTTTTTAATTTTATAAATATACTGGTATACGCGCATAAAAAAGTATTAAAAAGATAGAAAAGTTAAAAAAAAAAACAAAAAAAAAACAAAAAAAAAAAACAAAAAAAAAAAAAAAAGATGATCGCTTTTTGTTTATTATTTTTTACGACAATAATTAAAAAGTAGATCAATCATGCTGCAAAAGTAATCTGTTTCTTAAGCAACGGTAGTAAAAGTTTTCTGTATAACGACTCTCAATGTTTATTTTTTCTTTTTTTTCGTTTGGAAAAAATGAATTCAGAAATGAAAATATAGTGTTGTAATAAAAAAAAAAAAAAAAAAAAAAAAAAAAAAAAAAAAAAAAAACAGAGTATAAAATAGTTTATTACATTACTCCAACGTTGCGGCTCAACCTTATTGCATAGAATATGAAAGCAAGTTTGTAATTAAAAATATCATCATCCTCAAATAACAAGTAAATAATAAATAATTAATTCAATTTTTAAACTTATAAATATATTATTGCTTGGAATTATGTATGAAGATGATTAAAGTTTAATCCTTAAAGATAAGCTGGAATTGTTAGTTATATATTAACCAAAAAAACATTCTTTTTAATCATTATATTTATGAGTTACATTCGTTCGAAAATGGAAATTAGAAAAAATTCCATTTCATAGGGTATTGACAATATTTTGATCACCTGAATTCAACCATAATTCAGTACGGTACAGGTAAAAAACAAAAACAAAAACAAAAACAAAAAAAATCAATACAAAACAAAACAATACTTGTAAAAAAATATTTATCTTTCCTATAAATAACGATAATTTGTAGTTTGAAAGGGTCAGCTCATATTATGTCATAACTATGTCAAGATATATAATATTTATATGAGCTATGGATATACGATTAGAAGATAATTAGAGTGTGCTGATAATAGGCGATATTGAGAAATTTGCATGTTGTTATTGCTTTATATCGAGCTGCAAACTTCACTACATCTTCACTATATTATATAATTTATATAATATAAAAGATATAAGATTAAGAAAGACACATTATATATACTTTGAAAATGAGAAAAGCCTAGTGGTTATTACTACGCTTAATAGCAATAATAATTTTTCTTTAATCGAGAATTTGTGTCCTGTGTTCGTCTGATCGAATTCAAATTTTTTTTGTGCAACTTTCATAAAACACGCAATTCGAAGAAATTTTATCCGCAGACTTATAACGATAATAATTTTTATTTTTCCCACAACAGAATGCTGCTTTTATAGTAGCAATAAGCCTCGATATTTCATACGCTTTCTCTTTTCTTTTTATAATAATATCTTTCGATGCTACACAATGTCATGGTGAATTTTTATTACTTCTGGACATTATCGCCCAATATGCCCATAATTCATATATTTAGAAGTTTTTCTTCTTCATCTATTATTAGCATTCGAATATATTTGTCTTAAATAAAGGGAATAAAATGTTGTGATTTAGTTGAAATACGTGAAACTGACGTATGTCATTTATCTTTACCTAGTCATTATATATTTATGTTATATACATGCTATATTCTATATTTATTTATTGAAAAATACAAAAAAAAAAAAAAAAAACAAGAAAAAAAAAACAAAAAACAAAAAATCCCAATAATTTAAACATTGCATTTTATAAAAACTCAATATAAATAATTTGAAATAAGAAAGAAAAAAAAGAAAATATTTATATTATAAAAATAATATAGTAATATTTTTATTTATTATTTGTTTATTGCATATATTTTTGCTTATAATATTCAATACATATTTTATATTAATACAAACCGATTATTATACTAATTAACCTTAATTCAAGACCGTTACTTATATATGTATGTATATATCTCTCATTAGCATGTATATATATATATATATATATATATATATATATACGTAAGAAAATATTGAATATAATAGCACGTCGAGTTAATAAAGGTTAGAAGCTAATGTATGAATTGTTTAATATATGAACAGAACTTTTTAATGTAAATTCTTCGACTTTTAGTGTTTTCACTCAATGTACTCAAGTGATGAATAGTTGAAAAATTCTCAATAACGCTGTTACGGTATCGTTTCAAAGTTGAAAGTATTAATTTTTGTTTTTGTAACGAGTCGGACATTTCTATCGTTGACATATCGAAAGTATTTTTTCTTCCTTATATAAGATTTTGTGGATGACGATGTACATTATCGTAGGTAGAAAAAAAAAAAAAAAAAAAATTCATCGGACTTTGTCAGGAACATATTAAATGAAGGTAAAAACTAGTGATGTAGTGACACAATAACATAAGGTTAATCATCAAAATAATTTGGCTATAAAAGAATGAGTCAACTTTTCTGAGATACTGTATCAGCCGATATTTTCTACTGATAAGATAAGACTCGAGGAATAATGAACGCAAATTGCCACATTATAGTTGTCTATATAACTGTAGCTGCGAAATATAAGTCACACGCGATAAGTTCGTCTCATTGCAATTAAAGTGTATCTTAAAGCTTGTTAAAGGAAAAAGAAGAGAGAGAGAGAGAGAGAGAGAGAGAGAGAGAGAAGAGAAAAAGATTTATTTGAAATGGAATTAATTAAATATAAGCTGATTTACATAGTAGCCACCGTAATGGCTTCTATGGTGGTTATTAGTGCTGTAAATCTACATGTTGGCAATAGACAATATAATGACAGTTTAACGTGCTTCGAAAATATTCACATTCCAGCACAATATGGAAAAGTCGTATATGCAAAAAAGCCGTGCAATCTTCACAAACGTAACAAAACTATCACGCAAATTGTTGCCATTGATAAGGGACTGAGAAACAAAGGCGGATTTGCGAGAATTATAGAAGGTGGCTTGTATCGGAATAATGTTACTTTATATTTATGGAGTCAGAAGAGTCAATCGCTCAACTTTACCATTTCGATCTACAGCAAACCCTACAAATGATACGATTTATCACATTCGATAAGAGACTTCTTAAATGTATTTTGTCTTAATTATTATAAACATAAATGTTAAATATTTCAGCAATTGTATTTATCATAATTTATCAATTAAGTAAAATTCTCTTACGCTGTTTATCTTACAACAAGTCGACGGACGTTTCTTCTGTCATTTACACTTTATTCATCAATTTATTTTAATAAGCGATATTACGTTACATATTAAACTTTTCTCACACACACACACGCGCGCGCGCACTCACACGCACACAAAAGTTAATCGAGTGAAAATCAACCAATGATTATGCAAATTTGTCAGCATAATTAATTATTTATCGACGTTCCTTAAAATGTTTCAATAAAATCATTACTTTGATTACAAAGTTGGACTGCAGATATCGTCGATAGTCGCATAAAATAATAAATAATCACATGTAATAAAAAAAAGGTAACTTAATTAATACGCTTTTATAATAATGAAATTCACATACTATTACAAGTTTTGTATTTGAATAATCATTGATTTTTGTTGGCATTTTTATTGTAGAGTATTTTTGCAAATTCTATTCGAATTATAAATACTTTATCATTTCAAACATTATTGTTCGTTCAATATAGGTAATTTTTTATTACAGGAAATAATTTTATTACAGATTAATAATAATAACAATGATCAATCATAATAATAGAGAAATAATGTATAACAATATTTTTTCTTTCTAATAATTGTAAAGCTACAGCTTATGTATAATAAATATTGTGAGCGATATATTTAATTTATAAACAATTTAATAAAAATATTAATAAGCTTATGGATTTTCTCACAACCTTTATTCCAATCGCTATACGTGCCATTCAAAAATATTTTTACCTATTAATAAATTCACATGGACAAACTAGTATAATTATATACATTGTCGTTCTTCTTCACATTAATAAGAAAAACATAATAAACTATTTCTTTTTGAGCATGAAACGAACCATATTGATCCAGGCTATGAATAAAATTTACCAACACGATTAATTTACATACCATGAGACTCGACATACTAAGTCTTTTTTATTGCATAAGTAGATCGATTTTTTTTTTTTTTTTTTTTTTTTTTTTTTTTTTTTTTTTTTAAATACGACATAACTAGGTCCCCCATAATTTGCTGCACAAAATTTCATTTTATTTAATTGATATGTTACATTCGGCAAATCTTTTCAATAATTTTATATTGAAAATAATTTTTAGAAAAATGGAAATAATAGTAAAAGCGAATGGCCTGTGTAATAGAAATAATCTACACGATATGACAATATAATACGAATTTAATAAATTGAAAAGTAATTTATAACCATATGGATTGAAAAAGATCGTTGATCTGTAAATAAGAGAAAAATGTCTTAATCTTAATTTGTACAATCTTCTTGTATTATTGATGCGTAGATATCCATTTATAGGCATTTTTTTCATATTAAATTTAATGTAACGATTTAATGAACGTTTGATATTTGTAACGAAAGCAATTGATTTAATCATAGAATTATATATTTAAATAATGGAATTATCAATATTGATAGAATAATCGATATTATTTCAGTTGACGAATATAATTAAATATTAGTTATGTATATTGAAATTTAATTTGACAGCTAATGGTATATTTTAATTATGGCATCTCAATGCTCTAATGATCACGAATAATTATATATTGTGAAGATCAATACAACCATGGGATCCTAGAGCTGTAGTATCATACTCGTAATTTTTTACTTTTTAGTTTTGCTATTTGTAATATACGAGTTTCATGGTATGCAGATTTGAGTTGGTAGTTTGGTGCTTTGCACTTCGTATTCCAAGCCAGTAATTTGTAGATTACAGTATTTCAATTAATACTCTTGAGAATGTATTGCTTAATACAACTTTACTCGTTATATTTCGTTATATATTATAAAAGTTAGTCTTCTTAGTTGTTTTAATTTTTCGATTTTAAATAAAAACCTTATATTTTTTATTATCTTATAAATGATGATATAAACTATTCAAAAATATTTCTATAATTTCTCTGTTTGTCTGTCTGTTCCCTCGCTCCCTTATATATATATATATATATATATATATATATATATATATATAATAATTTGAATATTAATCTCATTTAAGTCTATGAATGTGAAAATAATTGTTTCCTTTTCTAATATTGATTCACCACCAATTTTGTATTCGTATTTAATTTTACATTCATTTTGTATAGAATTTATTGTTCTTTTTTGTATATATGGCTAATCTATAGTTAACTTACATTCTTATTATTTTTCATTTTTACGACACATTAATAGTAGTGTAATTAAATTTTTTTCTTTACTATTGTTAATTTCTCAAACTGGGATTAATTGTAAATTTTATCACAGGTTGAATTTTTTTTTTCTCTCTTCCATATAAAATTCATTTTCCGAGATTTTTTTAAATTGGGTCAAAACTCATCTTGATAAACGATTTTTTAAAGTTCGAGGACCGGGATATCAGAATTTTTACCATACAGTTTTTGAGCCAAAGCTACTTTAAACATTAAAATAGGCTCGTTTTAATTAATTCAAAAATTCTTTAGTTTTATGACAATTAATCTTAATATCTCTGCTGCAATTTGATTGATTTTACTAGTAGTTATCGTAACAAAAAAAAAAAAAAGACTAGGATTTTATTTTCAATTTATTTTCTTTTCTTATCTCAGCTTTAATATTCATTCTTCAAGGCTTTTGTTCCTTCATTACAATATAGATACATAAGTTATATATTTTTATTTAATAAAGGCAATGTTCGAATGTATTTAATTTTTCATTCTCTTCAGTACTACAAATTGTATTTACTATGCAGTGTAAAACAAATGAAAAAAAAAAAAAACAAAAAACAAAAAACAAAAGAATAACGGCAAATTCTGCGATCGTCATAGTTTGAAAATTTATAATGCTATTTACCACTGTAATCCCTTTACATTCACGTGGCAGGCGAATTTTCCTGCTTCATTGTCCTCTTCTTTAGTTATATTAACAGTTATCGCCGAGCTTGTGATCACGATGAATCGAGTTTCGCCAAACAATCAATCTAATACACTTACTTTATCAAATAGATGCTCTTCAAACGTCATATGCTTAAGAGCAGACGAATTCTTTGATTTTCTTTGTATTATCTCAATGGAAAATCAAGATTATTAAGATAATAGTAGCACTAATGCACGAGGCTCTTGAAATATAAAATGTCTCAATGAGCAAGAGAACTGTGCACTTATATTACACTCATATCGATTGTTTTCAGTAAAATTATCTTTCTATTTTTCTATTCCTACAATCTTTATTTTATTTATTAATAATTAAATTTTTTCCATTCCTCTCTCGCTTTACTATCGTTTATACAAATTATTGCAAATTATGAGTTTACGCATGACATTTGTAGCTAATCTATTTAAACACATCCAATTTTGTACTTGCCCTAGTGAAAATATAAAAACATTTATATAAATAAGGAATTGTTTACGTTCTTTATGCTTAGATACTTCAGACACATTTTTTTCCATTTTATTTAACAGCAATAAATGATATTTCAATTAACTATAGTAATTAATTCATCTCGTTACCACTCAAACTCTTACATATCCGCTACACAATTTATACAAACACTAATATATTATTATTGCTACATTCATTGCAACTGTAATTAAACTGTCTAAAGATTTTTATCGATTGCGTGCAATCAGTCCGACCCCCACTCCAAAAATTCACGATACTAGCATCGGTAATTGTGACTTGTATTTAAATGAAATCGATTAGTCTGATGTCAATTTTTTAGAATTCTCTTTACGTCGATTTGTTCTACATTTAATGTACGTATTATTAATCAGACTGAACACTATTTTTCACTAGCGATCGATCATTTATTACAATTTTCTAAGATGAAGCAAACTTGTTTAGCAGAATGCAGTGAATCTAGTGTAATTAGCCAAACAAATTCATGATAATTTTAAATTGTAAATTTATATTTTTGCCAGATGCTTTATGTACGTGATTTATAATATCATTAAAAGCATATCATGTTTTTGCATGCAATTATTTAAAATTTTACCAAAATCTAAACTAATAGGTAAATGTTTAATATACAAATGTCTTTCTTTCCTGTACAATTAATTTATGATAATGTAAATAAAATTTTTGAATAAATTATGATGAGTGGCGATTTAATCGTTATAGATTTGGCGTTAAAGTTCGTTTACGCTGTTTTTTTTTTTGTTTTTCTTTTGAATTTTCTAATGTGATAACAAAAATAATTTTACTCTTAGTTTTTTTCTAACTCCAATATTTGCTTAAGTTGATATACAAATTACAAGGACAAAAATAAAAAATAAACTTAATAGACGCAGTTCTGTCCTCTCATTCCTTATTACACACCCACGCAGACATGTATATATATATATATATATATATATATATATGTTACTGTAGTTTTAAAATTTTTTCTTTTATTGTCATGTATAATCAGTTATATCGCATGTATTTGCAATTTTCAATTTTTGAATATTATTTTCTTACTTTTTCATTTACCTCATTCATACATTAATTTTATTTTTCCCTTGTGTATCTTATTATACTTTTTAAATTTTCACTTTCTCTCTCTCTCTCTCTCTCTCTTATATTTAACGCTTTTTTACATTATTTTCTTATAAATTTACGTCGTAAAAATAAATTCTTGTCTGCTTATAAAATACGAAATTTAATTTCGAAACTTAGTTAAGTAAGCAAACATATTGTTTGAAATTGAATTTTGTAGAATTTATCATAGAAATAAATTTGTTAATCACTGTATTATTAAATATTCGTTGTTTAATATACAAGGAGCATATATTTTATACATTAATCGATCGAGTTTCATATAATAGTAATAGATTAAAGCAATTTTAACGAAATCCTTTGAGTAAAATAAAAGATATATTGAAATGTAAGATTTGTCGTTTGGATCAGTTAATCAATATATTACATTCATTCGATTCGAAAATGGATCTCACCGATCAATTATTAAATACTATTTCATTAATGGATAAAGATTTTTTTTCTCGTATTTCGCTTGAAAATGTAATCCTAGATATTCGAGCCAATATATGAATAGGTAGTGGTGGTGATTTATTCGAGCAGGTAAGTCGTGTTGTGTGCGCCTATATTATGATAATTTTGACGATACAAGTA